GCAACGCGGCTGATGCACCGAAAGGCAGTGCGAAGGCGACGCATGGCGACGGTGACGGCAGCACCGCGGCCTCGCACTGCATCTCCCCCCTTGCGCTTCTTCTTCTTCTTGCGTGTGCGGCGGGTGCTGCAATGCTGGCAGCGTGAGGGACACAGAGAGAGAAAGAGAGCCGTGGGCAGCTCGCCCTTCTCTGCTTCTCTCTCTTTGGGTGTGTTCTCCTGCGCGAACCGTCTCGCTCGCCCCACCCCAGGAGGCACACACATAATGTGTTCATATATACACGTCCACTCATGCAGGCCCGTTGTTTTTGTTTTTATCTTTGCACCCGACGAACCGCCGCCGCCGTCCTGCTTGGCTGCATGGGTAGAATGCCGTAACTGTTTTATTCATTTTAATTGTTTTGGTTTTTATTGCTTTCGGTGGGCGGTCTCTTTCGCCCTCCTTCTTCCTGGATTGGGTTGTACGGGAACAGAGAGCGTTTGTGTGCTGGTCGTCCCACTTGCTGCTGTGCGTCCCCACTGCCCGGTGGGCGTGCCCGCGCTTCGGCTTTACTTCACGGGGTTTGTGTTTGTTGTGATTTCTTTGTTGTTTTTGTTTTTTTGGGGCGTTCGGACGGAATTGTCGGGTCGTACATTGTGGTTTGCAGCGTATGGTGAGTGTGCTGCGGATCATCTTTTTCCCTGTTGTGTTGCTTTGCGTATGCACAGGAATCGCTAAGGGTGGGCCTGGAAAATATCGGGTTTTTTGATGGGCACCGCAAGATGCCGGCCGCGCCTCCTCGTTTCCCCCAGACAGGCCTCAAAATAAGCGGCCGTTTTTTGCTGCTGAGGCTGCCAGGGAACGATTCTACCGGGGCTGCTTATGCGAGGCGTGCGCGTGTTTTATTTTCGCATCTTTTTTTGGCGACCGCTGTGTAGCCCGTCAGTAAGCGCGCCGTGGACCACTCCTGAGAGAGGGCGGGGCAGCCAGCACTGGGCGAAATCTTGGGCGGCGCGACACAGAGTTTTTGGGAGCTTGGAACGAGCGCTGAAAGATGCGTCTGCGTTGGGCGTCGGACTGCGCGACGCCTACTGCTGGATGAGAGGCGGGAATCCAAAAGAAACGAAAAAAAAGTGCGCCGCTGCCTTGTGGTTGCCGCGACGGCCCGTTAATTGTGCGGCTTCGCACGTCAGCGTCTGCTGTGGCGCTGCGGTGATGAACGGGCATGTTTCCCATTTGAAGCTAGCGGCGGCCACTGCAGCGATGCCGAGTTGCACGGGTCCGGAACACGCTGAAGGGGTAAGACTTGTTGCTGCGGCTCCACCTGTGCCTTGAAGCTGGAAGCTGACACGCCCCTCGTCCTTTTTTTTTGGTCTTCTTTTGGCGAGTGCAGCTGCCGATGCTGTCACTTTGCTGCCCAACACGCCGTCACACATACGCACACACCCTTTTTTCTGCGATGAGGACGAAACGTCGTCATGGACACGTGGTGGGGCTGCGTCTTTGTTTGCGGTGACCCTCCGCAGGCATCGTGATGTTTCCCGCCTATGCCGCACGATGTGGTGGGTGGAGGTTGATTGGTTGCGTTGGCAAGGGAGCAGTGAGCAGAGTGCCACCGCCCTCAAGCAGTGTGGATGCTCTGTCTTCAGCGGAGTGCCGGTGAGTGGGACACTCACCTGCCGTTGTGGGGGTCCTCCTGCGTCCGTGTGGCTCTCTCTTTTGCTGCGGTTGCCTGGCGTCTTGTCTGTGTGTATTTTGTTTCTCTCTTCCTCTCATTCTCCTGTTGGCCGGTGGTTAGTGCTCAGCTGCAGCGCAAGCCAACAACTACACACACGAAGGAAATATAATGCCTGGGAGACTTGAGGGGGTACGGCACGGTAATGAGGAGAGTCCCGCATCTGATGTGCAGCGGGGAGGTGGTTGGGCGAGGGTGCGATTGGAGGCCGCTGCGGTGGCGCAAGGAGACACCGCTGACGCCGCCCCTCTCCCAGGGAGCCAACTGCGTGCGGCCCTCGCTGCAGCAAAGGTGTCTGTGCTGAGTTCCACGTTGGAGAAGTTGGAGGGACACTACGAGGATGTCTGCCATGCGAGGTGGGGTCATGTCATGGAAGTTTCCGACGGGCGAGGAGGGATGCGAATGGAGGTTAGGGAAGGCAGGCCGCCACAGCCGTGGGAGTACAAGGTGGAGGGGGCGACTGTTCTCATGGATGACGGTGCAGCGCAGTTCCGCCCACCACGTCTCAGTCTGGTGGTGCTCACCTCCGAGAAGTGGCCGTACGCACTGCGGCGGGCATGTGGTTTTGACTGTTATGTGTACTCTGAGGTGGAGCGGGTGTGGCAGATCGTTGAGGGCGATCTGGCCGGGCTGTTTGGCACGCACGGCGGGGCGAACTCGGCGTCTGTGCGGCGTGTCTTGATCGGGACGCCCGGGATCGGGAAGTCGGCGGCTGCTTGCTCGTACCTCCTCTACCAGCTGCTGCACTACGACGCCGAGCAGCTCCACGCGGTGGCGTACTTCATTGGGGAGCGAGCGTTTCTGTTTGACAAGACCACCAAGACGGTGTTTTCCCTTTCGACTATTCGACTCCGGCGATGGAGAGTTTATTTGGAGGTCTCCATGCAGATGAGGGGGTATATTATCTGCGACGTGATGGGGCGGAGGAAGGTGTTGCCCACCAAAATGCCTCCCACCGGGTGGGGCATGCTTGCCGTGTCGTCCCCAAACGAAACTCGCTACAGGGACTGGGAGGAGGACATGGGCGCCCGCCGAATCATCATGAACGGCCCTGATGAGAGAGATGTGATGGCAATGTGTGCCTGGAGGATGCGCGGAGAGCCTGCGGAGGAGCAGGCGGAGTACCGGAACACGGTGCAAAAGAGAATGGCTCGCTTGGGACCAGTCCAGCGTTACGCTTTCACTCGCTGCGGGAATGGATTTTCGGCGAGTTTTCATGGGAATATGGAACAAATTACGACGTGGGCTGTGAATCTTTACGTTGGGCTGGACAAGATGGATTTGTGGTCTTGCAGCGTTCCGACTGAAGACTACTCGAAGATGGTACGGGTGGTGACGGGGCGGGGAACGGAGTGCTTTCAGAACGCCCCGGGTTCTGCTTCGCTCAGTGCCGACGTGTTGGTGTGCGTGGCGAAGGTGATGCGGACGCATCCCGGCATCATGACGGTGCTGATGCCGCACTCTGCGCTGCTGCCCTCCGCAGTAGAGGGGTACGCAATAGGCGTGTTCATGTACGGGGACTTTGTGCGAAGGATACGCGATAAGCTGAGCGAGCTGCGGCCTCTAACCCCAGCAGGAGGGTGCGGGCCACGGCCATGCCTGCTGCAAATGAACCCACCGTTGTGCCCTACAGACGCGGTTGCGCTGCCGCCGAAGGTGCTTTATCCTGGGAAGATTGATGTGAGGCGCCGGGTGCTCTACGTGCCGGGTGTCGAAGACTTTCCGCTGTTGGACGCCTTTTTCTTCGTCGAGTCGCCGAGGAGGACGATGGTGGGGCTGCAGACAGCCCCGGCAAAGGCACGCCAGATTACAACCAACACGGTGAAGCAGCTCAATGATCATATGGCGGAGTTTTTTAACGGTTGGGATAAGTTTGCTCGGAGTTTGTCCTGGGAGATTGTTTACGTGCAACGTGGTGGTAAGGAGACAATACAAGCGTGGCAGGGGTGTGGAGCCTCCGGCAGCAGGGGCCAGTGCGGAGGATAAAAGGAGCATGACCTTTTGGAAGAGGAAGGTGCATCAGTACCATGTGGCGGTGTCGTATGAAGACGTAAATGCCGTATGCAGTGAGTGAAACAGTTTCTTGTTTTCCCTCAGCCTTTTTTGATGTGCTTCACTTCCACGAGTACCGCGGCGCTGCTGGGAAGCAGGCGATTGTGTTTGGGTTGTTGGTGGCGGTGGTATCGCTGCGAGAGTTTGTTTTTGTGGCTGCAGAGTGAAGGCATCTGCTGCATGTGTCTTGTAGTGGTGGTGCTGCGTGCCCCGTTTATTTTGTATTGTTTTTATTGTGTTTCTATTTTTTTAAAAAAAATGCTACGCCCCACTCCTGCTGCAGTGCGCTGAGGGAAGTGGGGACGTTGGGGAGTTTGTGGGGGCCGTGATGGGAGGTCCCGCCGGCATGCGCACTGCGTGTTGCCGCTGGTGGGGTTTGAAGGGGCTGGGCGGGGGAGACGGTAAGCGAGGTGGTTATGAATTTGTTTTTTATTGTTTGATTTCTGCGAGTGCGTCACAAACTGCGGATGCTCCATGCGGGTGCGTGTGGGTGTTTCTTATGGCTGCGCACAACAATCGCTGCTGCCGCCGCCTTCTTTGGGGCTGCCGTCTCTCGTGGGCGTGGCGAGTGTGTGATTGTGCAGCCCATGCATTAGTTGGTGCGGCCTTCGTCATGGATTATCACTGTTCTTTGCGCGGCACCCATCGTTTTATTTTTTTATATTTTTGGTTTCACCTTACTTTCTTCTCCACACCCAAACGCATACACGGAGAGACTAAACACCACTTGCTGCTGCGCACTTTGAGGGCACTGCTGGTTCCACCCTGCCGCTCCTCTGCGCACTGAATTGCCGCGGTAGTGGGGCTGTGGGTGCTGCGAAGGCGAGTGGGCCATAACTGATTGCTCTCTTCAAGGCGGGAGAAACGTGATTTTCTCTTGGCGCAGCGGATACGGCGGCATCGGGAGAAGGTGACGTCAAGGCGTTTAGCGGCACTCCCCTGCTGAGGTCGGTGGCTTAACGGTGTCTCTCGCCAAAGCCAACTTCGGCGGGGCTGGCAATTCCAATGTTGGCATGTGAGAGGAGTACGTCAGCATCA